CCCAATTGGCCCACTATTTCCACACCCTAATCCGTATGGTCATTATTCACCAGTAAGCCCAGCTTTGAATCATGGTCAAATAAATCAAATGCCATATAATCATGGTGGTTCATTTGGTCAACCCCTCCACCCCGTTCAACCTATGCAACATAATCCTGGTAGCGTAAATCGAAAAGGGGGTTCATTTGGTCAACCCCATCATCCCGGTCAACCAATGCAGCGTAATTTTGATCTACCCTTTCAATCAATGCAACATAATCCTGATACCGTAGGGCAAACTGGTGGTTCATTTGGTCAACCCCGCCACCCCGTTCAACCAATACAACATAATCCTGGTACCGTGAGACGAAATGGTGGTTCATTTGGTATTCCGCTTCATCCTGTTCAACCAATGCAACATAATCCCGCCAGGACTTCCGTAAGACCCGTGGTTCCTTCATTTGCTCCACAGCTGAAATATGTTTATCCACAGTTGCAAGCTCCCCTCTCAGGGCTCGGACACAACCCTGTATTAGCACCGATTGGTATTGGCGCTCTTCAACCAAATATACCGTTAACGTCTTTTGCACCCATCGATACTATTTGGAGTACTACTGTGGCACCTTATCCAACAACGTCTGCACTGCCAACGTTCAACCCTGATCTACAGTGTTCCATGCAATCAGAATGTGAAGTAGGTTGTTGTTACGATGCAGCTGGTGACATCCTGTGGGACTGGAAAACTATGATCAATCCTATGATAACACAGGGTAAGTCGTGTTTATTTTCTCTAGTGGGGAGTTGGATAACTGAGTGGTCTGGGACCAGCAGGATAAGCTGTGGCTGTTCTTTGTAGATCCTACTACATGGAGAGAATTGGGTGTTGGTTATGGATGGCCAACGAGTCTAACACTTTGAAACATAAAATCTTTTTATCAAGCTATAAACTAGGGCAGTTGGGAGAGACTGGAGATGACGTAGTGGTCTAATGCGTGTGTTTGAGATCATAAGAACTCGAATATGTTGATCATAATGCATGTTATCTATGTAGGTCATGAGTTGGATTCTCTTCAAGGATTAGAATCACGTTTAACTGCTTGAAAGAAAATGACTGTTATCTGTCTGCATTCCGCCGAATTATTTAAGTCCACCTAAACATTGTAGTGGGCCAACTTTGCGGTTACTGATTGAGCATTCCATATCAGAACACTCGGTGCGAATTTGATGAAAAGTAGATCTTGGGCCACTAGGCAGCCGGCTGCATAAGAAAGTATCTCTACCCAATCTCAGTATCCCCATCCTGTTGCGTTGAATTGCGTCATAATTTTACCGTTATCAACAATTATAGAACTATGACAGAACTGAATCCCGTGTCAATTCAGGCATTTCCGTGATCATCGGCAGTGTACGGTCGTCAGTCCGCCCGGAACGTTCATATTGGATATATGGGCTGTGTTTGAGTGCGTCAAGATGCTATTCACACTATATTAATTGTCGGGACTGTCAGAACTGTCAGAATTCATGTCACTGAATTTCAGTTCCGGCAATTCAAACCTAATCAATTATCGGAAGTGACAGAACTGTGACAGGACTGACCAGTGACCCCAGTATCATTGTATTGCAATTCGGACAATTTTGGAGCGTTCCTTAATCAAGGGCCGTGTTCAGTTTCGACACAGATCTCCAATTTCGCTGGGTTTCAGTGTTACGATTCTACTCATAATACTAAGCTTTCGGGAGTTTTGTCGAATTTGTTATATTATCATGATTTTAACACCTCTATTTACAGCGATCCACGGTGGCTAAGTGAGTAAGAAACTGGCTTGCTAGTAAGGGGATCGCGGATTCGTCCCCGGTGTTGACCAAGAAAGTCCACCCGATTTTCTGGCGTGGTTTCCCCATGTCAAAGTTTCTGGATGGAGGGCCTGAAAAGAACAGCTGTCTAGTCGTTCGGGTGAGACGAAATACCGAGAGTCCGTGTACAACTTGGCGTGCACGTAAAAGATCCCTCGACAGTTGGAATTCGGTATTAAAGTAAGCCGAAGCGCCACTGTCGGTAAAATTTCCCTCATTAGCCGAGTCGAAGTAGAACAGTACAGTAGGACGTTGAAACCATTTCTTTTCCTTTCTATTTACAGTAGGCTTCTGTCATGTGAAGGAGGAAACGCCACTGGGTGTTTCGTGTCACAATATAAACTGTCCTTGCACGGGAGGTAAGATCTTTTTTTATTCGGAACTGACACCGATTGCTTGATTGATAAGCCGATATGCCTCTTTTTCAATTAATAGGAGTCACTATGGTCAAGTGAATAATGGCCGATCCAGTAAGAAAAAGGCTGCCTCAATCACAATGGGGTATTCAGGGTTGAATTCTGATATTGGCGGAGAAAACTCTTATGGATTTTTCATGAGGGTTCAAGTTGTCAGTGGTGCAGGAAGTAAGGCCTTGTTCAACTTTTATTTCTGTTGCTTCGTTCTCTTGTATTGTCACCATTTTAAAGGATCGAGGGCCACCCAGGAAATAACGTCTGTTTTAATTAGATGGAACGAAAACCCTTGGCCTCGCGTGTACAGTCTAAACGTTGCACGTACAAGAACCCATGACAGTTAGAATTCGATGGGAAGGCCGCTGTCCAGTCCAAATGTCCTTCATGGCGTATGATCGTCGTCATTATCCTGGTTAGTGCAGAAATGCAGGACGTTAAACCCTATGTAATTTCATTTGCATTTCTACTTTCATTGTAGGAGACCAGGTGTGTGTGAGTATTCCACCACGGAATTTCACAATGCCGTCTGGTTACGACCCAGCAGAACATGGAGTAATGTCATTCGGTAAGTGTCGTACAGCCGGTCAGCCAGTAGTGGGCATCGGACATTTAGAGAAAGCCAAGGCCATGATGGACATGTGTATGCTGGACCCAGCATGTCCACTTCACCAACCCATGAAGAAAAAATAAAAACTTGTTAAAATTCGGTTGTTATGGAAACCTAGTACCATGGGAACACCAATTATTTCGATGCTGAAGTCCTCGTGTTATTTTTCTAATAAATTTGTCGCGATGAATCATTAAAGTAACTGATGGTCATTTGAGGTGGTTTGCTTTTATATTCTTTTAAGTTCAATCTGTCTATTGCAAGAGTCTGCGGGGGGGGGGGGGGGTTATATAATTTATCTTTTTATAATTAAGCATTTATACAACCCTCTAGATAATCGCATGACCGTGATATTAAGACACCCATGCCATTTTATAATTGAATGCTTATATAAAATTTATTATTGTAACAATGTTTCTTTTCAATCGACACTATCTTGTCGAAACTTCAAATACTCATAACTTCGCTGAAAATGAATCTGTTTTCTGAAATGCTCAATATATTCTTTTTCATTTATCTATTGTTGAACAATTATAGAAAGAATTGTCGGCTCTTTATCTACATAATGCATCTTTAAGAATTACAAAATTAAGCTCGAGTATTTTCACGGCAAGATACCAATATCAATATAGATTGAAATGGACCAATATTAAATTCTAATTCGTGTATTGAATTTCGAATATTAGTGAAAATATTGAGTTGTTAACCCAGCGTCACAAGGGGAGAGTCCTGAACCAGAAGACACAGTGCAACGCCACCAGGCCTATTCCAGTTCCTAGCTCGAGCTAGGTTCCTTATGCGCCACATTTCAGCCCCAGGCCAGCTCTAGTATAGCCACCAACCCCAAACGGAGGGCTGTCGATGATAGCACATCGCAGTACACCTAACTCTAACCCTAAGCTCTGTATTCGGAACACGGATGATGTAACTTATTGTGAGTAGAGGGATTAGGTTTAGGTTTATCGAAAGATGTATAGACAGATAAATGTTAATTAATGTGTAATTTTTTATCAACAATAATGAGATTCTTTTATTCTAGCTTCAGTATTTATTAATAACAAAATGTAAATGTGTAATTTTGTAAATATTTGTAGATAATAATATTTATATAAAACATATAAAATATATTCCTGTGTTCTTTACTTTTTGAATATAGGCCGGGGGAGGGGGGGGGGGTAACGCATGTACGTTTCATCATAAGGTTTGACATTGAGTACGTAACAAGGAGTAGGATCGCCTGTCTAACCCCTGGTAAGTGCCGCTGCCCGGGCGAAAGTCCCTTCATATGGCGAATGCCCGTCTTCATTAGTCCAGTCGGTGACAATCCGTGTACTTTATTCTCCCCGGAACAATATTCTATCATTATCACGTGATTTAATTATTCAACGTTATTAATGAATGTACAGGTTATCTAGGTTATTAAGCCTACCGTATGTGTGAGTACAATTGGAAGTTTCGGCAATATATAATATTGGAGCAATTGGATATATTTTAAAGGAGCCAAGTCTTTACCTCAATATCATCAACAGTCTTCGACATTGCAAACTCGACTTATTGGTCAATGTAAATCAACATCGATGTTGTTATCTTATTAAAGAAGATTTTAAAATTGGCACACGAATCGTATGCCAGGATGCTTTCGAGCGCCAGTTGTGCGAAGCGAGTCTATGAACAAGGCTAAACATATCCCATGTAGGAGAATACTACGGGTGCAGAGAGGAATAACCAGACACCAAAGACTGCCATTCACTTCAGACTCTCCACATATTTAACTGAAAATAACTGATTAGAAATTACATTAAAAACAGAAACGATTGAATGTAAATCATTTTACACACATTCATATTACATTATTATATGCGTATTATGTGTCAATTTCTAAGTGTCAAATTAGCGATTTAGCTACTTTAACAAGAAATCTCCGAAAACAATAACTCGATCGCTGAATTATGCCGTGTATCTAAAACATAGTATGTCATTACGTCAACAGCAACATAAAATAGCCATTCATGGTCCAGATAACAATAGAGCAATGAAAAAAAATGTGTACACGATTGCCGCAGTGAGCCGAATGTTTATGTTAATGTGGCCGTTTGACAATTATAATCGTTGATTATCTCCCTTGAATCATCACATGACATCTAAAAATAGTTAAGGGATGTAAACATTGGTGTGTTTTAGTTGCGATAAAAAGCAATTTTAACAATGACTTGATGGTCCAGGGAACAATAAGGCGATAGTTGAGATTTACCAAAGGGTACATGAACGTCACTGGATACTATTAGAGAACGGGAGACATTGTTCCCGACTGTTGGGTCGACTAGAAACGAACTGTGAATAGAAAATGGCGAACCGGGTTCAGCTAGCAGACGATAATCGGTTGGCAAGTTTTCCCGACCCGTCAGAACGCTCACTTCTACTACAGGAGGAAAGTAAAGGTACGTTTAAATGAACATTTTAGCCTGACTATCGGTCGCATTCGGGTACAGATCAACTGGGTAATCTTTCACGATGGACAAAACGTACACGGTATATTTGTTACACTGCTGAGTATACTATATCTACTAATCTAGCCTACTTGTAGTTTGTAAAGCTTAACTCTGTAACATTTTTCGTTCCATCCGAACGACTAGGCACACTTCCCCCATGAGAGCCCAATGGGTGTCAGCTCTGACAAGTGAGACGTGGTCTTCAAAAACCTTTGTTCTTCTCGTACCCCAGACATGTTCCAATCGAGATGTCACTACCTAAACCTTACCTCCGAAGCAGCGTGTCTGCCAACCCACGATCACCACGCCCCCTACAGTGACGAGCATCCCCAGACACAAATGCTATCTGGGTGGTAGTGGCTGTAAATGGGGTGAGGGTGGATACTGGGGGTGGGACACATCTAGCAACAATCGATCATACCCCCCCCCCCCCAGGAAATAAGTATCTGCTTTGCCCATTTGCCCAACAGATATATTTGGCACCCTAGAACATGTTTACTACATGATATAACGACAAGTTTGTTATATTTATCTTGGGTTTAATGGGGTTTTTTTATTATTATTTTATGATGTATTTATTTGAAAATCAAATCAAAACAAGTTGGCAAAAAGAGTGTTGCGCTCAGGAACCGAGACTGGGAGAATGTTTGGTAGAATTGGGTAAATTCATTTCTAAGCAATAGAGGTGTACACATGAATTTTAGATTTGTAATATTATCTTCTTTTTTTAAATGTATGAAATCAATTAAGGTTTTGTGTATATTATTATTATTTTAGAATTCTTCCCATGTTTGTCTACCCGTTTTTTCCTGGCCTTTATGGCGTTTCTTGGTTTTGTAAATGTTTATTGTTTACGAGTCAATCTGAGCGTTGCTATAGTTAAAATGGTAAACACTACTGATTCAGCAGATAATGACACAGTTACTAACGAATGTCCTGGTGATGTCGATAACAGTACAACGCCATCCAGCCAGGTAAAATATAACACAAACTGTACAATTTGCTTATTCATTATGAAGTACATATAGGTTGACTAGGCATGGCACTGGAACACTAGGAGGTCAAGTGTACGATCCCAGTGTTGTTGGCGAAAGTTTTCCGGCCCGGTATCTTCTTGTGACTAGTCGAGGTCGCAGACCCTCCCAAGAAGAGGCATCTAGTCATTCAGATCATACAAAAAACGAGGTCACGTGCACGAAAACCGCGAATTGGAGGCACCAAACTATATATTTTCAAAAGAATTCACATAAATTTTGACAGAAACTACCGTAATGTCTCATAACTCCATTACTACATGGATTGTTACTCTTGATCAGTGTTTATTGTCTTGTAACTGATCCGATTTTACACATAAAAAATAAATTTGCTACTCTGTATGTTTCGTTGCCTTGCAACCTATCCGACAATTAAAATAGTTCATTTATCAATTTCAGGGAGAATTTTACTGGGACGAAACAACTCAAGGGGTTATCTTGGGGTCATTCTTTTACGGCTACATCACAACCCAAATACCAGGTGGCTGGTTGGCCGGGAAAATCGGTGGTCGCCGGCTGTTTGGTTATGGTGTATTGTGTACATCTGCTCTGACACTGTTAACGCCCGTTGTGGCCAGATGGAGTTTACCAGGACTGATTGTGTTGAGAATTGTAGAAGGGATAGGAGAGGTATGAATAAAAATATTAATGTACTTTCTTTTTTGTGCACTGTCATTCATAGGGTCCGATCCGACACTTTACTTCATAGGGTTCGATTCCACGTTTTAGTCCACAAAGCTCAATGCCAAGCACTGTAAATCGCAAAGTTTGTTTTCGTGCTGCAGGGGTTCATTTTATTTTTTGTAGATCCCAGGATATCAAATATTGAAACATATACGTATTAGTCCAGACACAAAAAGCAACAGTGAGCCCCCCCCCCTCCCCGTTAATCCTTGGATAAATTACGTGTTCGATGAGGAGATTACTTTGCTTTTTCTTAGGGTGTGATGTTTCCATCGATGCACGCCATGTTTGGGGCGTGGTTACCAATATTAGAGAGAAGTAAACTCTCAGGGTTCGATTCCACGTTTTTTCCCACAAAGCTCGATGCCCAGCACTGCAAATCGTAAAGTTTGTTTTCACGCTGCAGGGGTTCAGCTTTTTGTTGTAGATCACATGGTACCAAATACTGAAATATATACATATACGTATTAGTCCAGAAAAATAAACAGTGAGTCCCCCCCCCCCCCCCCCGCTTCGTTAATCCTTAGATAAATTATGTGTTCGATGAGGAGATTACTTTGCTTTTTTTCAGGGTGTGACGTTTCCATCGATGCACGCCATGTTTGGGGTGTGGTCACCAATATTAGAGAGAAGTAAACTCACTTCATTAGCTTATTCTGGTAAGTATATATAGTAATAGAAAGCATTTGATTGTTCGGATGGTATTTTTAAATACCTACTAAACATGTACGTGAGCTTGGTTCGTGTTGGACGTGTATCAGATAATCTTTATTGTATTTACAGGAGCCCAGATGGGAACCGTTATCTCCCTTCCTATATCCGGATATCTCTGTGATTCTGATCTAGCTGGTGGATGGCCGTCTGTATTCTATATCTTTGGTAAGTCACTTTATCAAGGGCTGGTTGAGTCTGTCTTCCGTGTCTTTGGTAAGTCACTTTATCAAGCGCGGGGTATGGCGCATGCCTAGACCTTTGCCATTGACCCTACTCATTAACCCCGTCTATTCTTTTCTTTTAAAAAAAATGATACTCTTATTTCATTAAAACTTGTATAATAAAAACATATACTGGATTACATGTTATTAGCATTGTTGTTATTTACAGGTGCTTTTGGAAGTGCGTGTGGTGGGATTTTATCAATTTGTTATTACAGGTGCTCTAGGATGTGTGTAGCTGGATGTTATTCTCAATTTGTTATTTAAAGGTGTTCTAGGGTGGGATGTTATTATCAATTTGTTATTTACCAGTGCTCTAAGGTGTGGTGGGATATTATTTTCGATTTACAGATGCTCTAGAGTGTGGTGGGGTGTTATTATCAATCAGTTATTTACGGGCGATCTGGTATGGCGGGAGTTCATCGCGTGCATTTTGCATACCGATAGTTCATTGGCCAATCACGCTATTTTACCGACATTGCGCCTAATAGTTTGGATGCAGGTATGGCGGGTGTGGCTCCAGGCAGGGTAAGCTTACTCTTTCGGACACCTGTTACCACTGTTTGTCGTGTATTTTGTACACGAGGAGCAGTCCATTTGCTGATTACACTATTTTGCTTGAATACACTATTTTGCCTATAACGTTTTTTAGGACTTCGAATTCTGTCTTAGGGTTTGGATTGTTCGTACTTGGTTTTATTTTATTTATCTTATTATCGGTTGTTATTTACAGGTGCGCTAGTGTGTGGTTAGATTTTATCAGTTTGTTTACAGGTGATCTATGCGTGGTGGAATGTTATTCTCAATCAGTTATATACAGGTGCACTAGGATGTGTGGTGTGATCTTATTATCAATTTAAATTTACAAGTGTTCTAGGGGGTGTGTATGTTATTATTTGCAGGTGCTCTAGGGATTGTATGGGTGATAGCATGGTTGTTATTAATACATGATACACCAGGTCAACATCCACGTATCTCTAAAGCAGAAAGAACCCACATAGAAGAGTCTATTGGTAAAAAAGAGGTAAATATATTTTTTTTTAATTTGTAGAAAAATATCACATTATCATTCTATTTCAGTCTTAAACGCTAGTAAAACAATGAACATATTATATATGAAATATGACCTGTTAGCAACGACATTACTAAAATAACATTGGGCCTTTTTGCGCACGTGTATCGTATCTAATGAGAAATGCCCCATATAACTAATATTTTTTCAACTGTAACTGAGTCCCTGATATTATTTTCAGGATCTGAAGACACCGTGGAAGAGTATATTAACATGTGGTCCCCTATGGGGGATAGCTGCTGCCCATTTCGCCGCTAACTGGGGGATGTATTCTATGTTGACATGTTTACCAACGTACATGAAACAAATTCTAAAATTTAACATAAAAAAGGTCAGTTAAAGTGAGAATTGTTATGTGTTCATTTATGTAATGCATTCCTTTCATGATAAAAATTCCTAGGAACATTCTTAACAGCCAGATGGAACCCGGGGACTTTCTGATTAGTAAACCAAAGTTTCTAGGAATTTTGTAGCTTGGTATCACAGTGCCATTGGCGCAAGATGGAATCCTGCGAAGGAAACTCGTCTAGTCTCTTGGATGGGACGAAAATTCGAGGTCCCATTTAAATTTTCCCTTATTTGTCCTGTTGTGCAGAAAAGTATGACTTTATATACTTTTTCATTTTATTTCATTTCTTTCCATTTCATTTCTCTATTTCAGAACAGTTTATTATCAGCTGTGCCGTATTTAGCTTTATGGATTTTACAAGTTGTTTCGGGATATTTAGCTGATTTAATACGTAAAAATAATTATATGAATACTTTAAATACACGTAGAGTTCTCAATACATCAGGTTAGTTATCTCCCTTGTTTTCAATACACGTAAGAGTTCTCAATACATCAGGTTAGTTAGCTCCCTTGTTTTCAATACACGTAAGAGTTTTCAATACACCAGGTTAGTTAGCTCCCTTGTTTTCAATACACGAACGAGTTATCAATACCCTGGGTTAGTTATCTCTTGTATTTTTAAGTACAGTACCGTTCTCAATAATAATAATACCGCCATTTATAAAGCGCGTCAATCCCAAAGGCGCTGTTGGTTTTTATAACTACTGATTATTTACAGATCAGGGTTTTGAAATAAGAATGTTTTGAGTTGAGATTTAAAATGGCCCACAGAAGGTAATTGTTTCATTGATTGTGGTAGTCTATTCCATAGAAAAGAACCAGCATAAGAAAACGCACGTTTTCCAAGTTAATGGCTGGAGATTTTAGAAGATTTTAGAGATTTCTGCTGGTAGTATAGGGTTCTACAAGACATTTTGTATAAGATGGGGCTTGGCCGTTTAACGCTTTGAAGGTGAAGAGGAGTAAATTGAACTTAGTTTGTTAATCTGATAGTCTGGTAAGTCTAGTAAACCATTGTGGTAATCTAGTTTAGTTGAGATGAATGCGTGAATGAGTTTTACTTTATTTTCATAATTGATATAGCGTTGGAGCTTTCCAATTCGATGTATATAATGATAGAAGGCAGTGGAGCAAATACTTTGTTTGTGATCTTTAAACGATATGTTCGAGTCTAATATAGCACCAATATTTCGAGCTTTATGGGTTCCTGAAATTGTTTCTTTATCAAAATTAACTAGCGTTTAATCAATTTTTGGGAGTTGTTGCTTGGTTCCAATTACTAGAAGTTCTGTTTTATTTGGATTTAATTTCAAGAAGTTCTATTTTTTGTATCGTAGAATGTTGAGAGTCTGTGGCAAATTCAATATTTAGTCCATAGCCTTCAACAATCTTAGTGATAGGCTTTGTGAAGATAATAAAAAGTACAGGTCCGAGTACAGAAACCTTGCGGTACCCCACAAAGTATTGTATTATCGTCGGATGTTGAATCTCTAATTGTGACAGCCTGGGTGCGATTGGTTAGATATGACTTAAAACAGTTAACGCAAGCCAATTTCACACCATTATGCATCAAGGAGATCTTCGGTATCGAGCGTATCAAATTCGGCTTAGAGATCTAAGAGTAGGGCCTACCAAGACAACACATTGACCCGTCTTTATTAGCCCAGTATAGGAGCAAACCAGTAGGACGTTAAACCCCATTTCATTTATCATTTCTGTTGATCTACAGCTCGGTGGATATCGTTGGTGATTTTGAGTAAAGCAGTTTCTGTGCTGTGGTATTGTTTGTAGGCAGATTGTAATGGATTTTCAAGGTTATTGGAATAAATATGATCATTTAATTGATGAAGAACACACTTTTCTACTAGTTTTGAAATATAAGATAGTTTACTGACTGGACGGTAGATCGACAGAATATCTGGGAAAGTGACCAGATGAAAGAAATTGGTTAATAATTTCGGATATGATGGGTACAAATAGATACCAGCAGTATTTATGTTCTATTTATAGGTTTATTAATACCCGCAGTATTTATGGTAGCAGTAGCTTACAGTGGATGTAATCATACCCTGGCTGTTGTATTACTAACATTTGCTGTAGGGACTGGTGGCTTGTCCATGGGTGGCTACCAAGTTAACCATCTAGATATAGCACCCAGATTTGCAGGTAAGGTTGGGATAACGATTTCTCAATATTTGTTTATATACATCTACTTTGTCAGAGTATCATAAGTTTGTCTTGTATTGTCGACGAGGCGTTAAACGACGTCATTCCTTTATTTTCTTTTTATTCTAGAGTAATGCCCTTTTATTCACACAAAATGGCGTCTTATTTATTTTCAGGAACATTGTTTGGTATAACTAACGCCATTGCTACGATTCCTGGTTTTCTAGCACCGTTAGTTGTTGGTATTTTAACAAACCATCAGGTATGGCTCTATAATTATTGACATATTTCCATGCATTATGTAAGATCTAGATCAAGAGCTGGTCGTTCTTGCTACAATAATTCAATATAGGTATTGGAAATTTCAGTCAAATGTCTTTATTCTGAGCAAAGTTATGAATGTTTGAAGTTTTGTTTTTGACAAGAAATAGCGTAAATAGACTAGATTATCAAATATAATGGCTACCATAATAACAAAGTCTCAATTTTCAAATGGACTTTGATGCAGTCTTTAACTGTGGTTGTCTTGAATTTGAGGGCCTTTAGCTTTGGAATATTTGATTTTTTACAGGAAACAAGTGAACAATGGAGGAAGTTTTTCTACACAACATCAGCTATATATGTAGTAGGTGCTGTCATATATCTGGTATTAGCTAAAGGGGAGGAGTTGGATTGGGCAAAGTCACCAGATAAGACAATAATTGTTGAACCAGCTACAGATGCAAACAATATACAGTCCCAAGATTCACCACATGATTCAGACAAAATTCTAATATAAACGTAACATGTAGAGGGATGTATGGCTGGTGTGTGGGTGTGCGTGTGTTTGGGGGTGGGTTGCCTCTGCGTGGCTGGTGTTTGTGTGTCCTTTTGAGGCTCCTGTCCAACCAGTAACGATTATTTGTATCATTTGTATCTAATTTTTTTTGTTAAAAATTGTTTTATAATGTGTACATCTGTATATATTTGTATCTCTGGTATCTCAGGAATAGATGCATAAATAAACGTCAAATATAAAATTGAATTAAGATTAATAAAAATGTTTTTATATCTGGATTGTTGTCACCTTTAAATCAAAACATGTTTCGAACCAAATGAAATTTGTCTGCGATATCACCTTCGTTGGAAGTGGGTATTAAACCCAATGCACAGCAATACAACAGCACGCAAATAAAAATAACTACCTGCAAAACTACCTGAAACAGTTTCGTATTGTGCCTTTAAATGTCAAGTTAACAAGCAAATAAGAAATGAATACCTGATAGATAAAATATTAATCTATAAACAATCCATCTCCAATCCAATTCGTCTCTTATGATAAACAACATGTCTAAAATAGAACTTGCAAACTTATATTTAGTTGGATATTTTAAAAATTAGTGATGTAGTAGTATAACTTCGTATGTATCAAAAGGGAATACAAATACTACGTATACGAGTAATTCGTTACATTTTCGGGAGTCCCCATTAATTAAAGCGGCATTAGGTAAGATTATATAAAGAGCTGACAGTTCTCGCTTAAATATTTAAAAAATAGATAATGAAAAGAGAATATACTAAATTCTTCTGTAAAATTACTTCACTCTCAGCCCAGATATTAGCGATACAATTCAAGTCTAGCCTCGATTGTCATTACCATCGTTGTTGCGATAATAAAGTATCGATTATTCATTTTTACAGTAACCGCATGGACCACAAAACGTATTTAAATCTACTTATATCGCAACCAGAGTTGATTATGGTCTTGGTAAGTTAATTAATGTCTAATTAATAATTTATATAGCATTTCAGGCCTAAAGAAAAACCTACAATAGGCAGATTTAGTTTTAAAAGAAGCAAGTTAAAAATAGATAAATACCAAAGCCGTAAGTATCAGATTTCGAAGCAAAAAATCAAAGCTGAAGCAAAATAAATTCATTATAATATTTAAAATATCATCTGTAAATATCAAGATTTTAATGGAAAAATAAAACCATTTTATCTGAAATATCGAAGCAGTAAATATCAAGCAGTAAAATATATTCATTGTATATAAAATATCAAAGCGGCAAATATTGGGAATAACGTGCTGGATCGTTATTCGGGATTCGCGAATAATGACTAACGAGCCAGCACGCTATACGGGATTCGGGATTCGCCACTAAAACAGACCGATCTACGTACGTTGCATCCGACCATTTCCTCGCTACCCCCGACCGTAGGGGTAAGTGAACGTTGGGTGACCAACTAGCAAGGAGACGACCGTTTTTTGAGCGAATAAGGTGTTGACTGGTTTGTTGGTTATTAAAACAAACACGGGGGCACCTCAGGGATGTGTTCTATCACTGGTTCTTTTCATTATTTACACCAATGATTGCAGAAGTATAAATCCTAACTGTCTCACTGTCAAATTTGCAGACGATGCCGCGATTGTTAGCTCACTAAACGACGCCGAATCTGACACTCATTACAGAGGTGATGTTGCCAATTTTGCAGAATGGTGCCACAGGAACTATCTCCATTTGAATGTCAATAAAACCAAAGAACGTATCATTGACTTTAGGGTTAATAAATCACATATAGTTCCCTTAACAATTGATGATGAAACTGTTGAGATAATTTCAGAATACAAATATCTAGGTACTATTATTGATGACAAACTATCATGGAACCAAAACACAAACGCAGTGTACAAAAAGTGTCAACAACGCCTCTATTACACGCGCAAATTGAGTTCTTTTCACGTTAACCAAGCCATACTTTCAGTGTTTTACACTTCATTTATACAAAACATTCCCTGTTTTTCTATCCAATGCTGGTATCCTTCCCTCACCGTCCAAAACAAAGCTAAGCTAAACAAAATCGTCAACACGGCTAGCAAAATTTCAGGGGTTCAGCACACCCCACTCAATAGACTGCACAATAAATTTGTACTTAATGTGAGCAAAAAAATAGCCTTTGATGAAACACATTTTTATTACAGTGAATACGAATTACTACCCTCGGGACATCGCTATAGAGTACCAAAATTTAAAACAAAAAGATGTCAGTCATCGTTTATCCCGCAAAGCATATGTATACTAAACCAAGCAATATCAGACGAAATGCAATAGGCTGTCATTTGTTAACATATATCCATGTATTATGTATTATTTATATCTATTTATTATTTTGTATCAAATTCTCATCTCTTGTCTATGTCTAAGAATTCCTGTAAGGTAATAAAGAATTATTATTATTATTATTAAACGGAGGGCTGTCGATGATGAAACAAATCGCAGTACACCTAGCCCTTAACCAGGGGCGGATGTAGGAATTTTGAAAGGGGGGGGGGGGCGCCGCAAAATGAGGGCACTGACCGCGGAGACGGGGCACGCCGCTGAGAGGGGTTTTTTGGGGGGCGAGGGTAGCCATTCCAAGAGCTATTTGGCTGATATTTTCGTCTAAGTAAACGTTCGGAAATCGTTGAAAAAACGCCTTAAAATCAAGCAAAAAACCCAGTTGAACATGCGACTTAAAAATTGTCAAGGCGAGCGAGGCATTATGATGGGAAAAAAGACGAATCTATTCCCTAGCCAATTCACTATTTAAGCCTTGTAACTTAAAGGGGAAGACCAACGATTTTCAACAAGGTTTCCATAAACCTTATATATATATATATTGATAAATAATCCCCTCTGTAGCACAAGCAAAAAAGTTTTTGTAAGTGAGAAATTAATTTTTATTAAAACAGGAAGTGACATAGTTGGTTCAACACGCTCAGCGGTCTCTATAGTAAGCATACAGATCTGGCATAAGTTTACAGCTGTATTGTGTTCACGCGTCGTCCTTTGGCCAAAAATCTGATGAAATGGGCTGTTTATTTGGATATTATAAACACGAATTTATGGTTTTTTTAACGTTTAGTACACTAAGCCGCCGCGTAAATTCACTCATACTGAACAGTACGCTGTGCCTAAATTCACGCCACATGGCTTATTGTTTACACCACGTGGTTTGATTGACAACTTGCTAGTGGCATGTATTTTGTCTGTTTCGATGTTTCTGTGCTTGCTGACAGCTTTTTCCAACATAAACAGATCAAAATTATGGGCATGTAAGACATATGATATAGTGCATTTTGGCACATAATGTCGACGTGAACGGCTTTTCCTTTTTTCTTCCATTTCCTCTTGAGAATGGCTGGGGTCGAATGTTTATACGGCATTACTGTAGACCCATAGAACAGATATTTTATATTCCAATACGTTGGTGTTTGACGTTGACATACTTTGGAAATTTATATATTTATTTGAATATATATGTGCCACAAGTTCGTTGAAATAAATAAAAACAATGTCAGCAGACTCAGCACGCGCAAAACCATTCAGGCAGACGAAACATCTCTCACTTGCAAGCTGTCAATCAAACCACGCGATGTAAACAATTAGCCATGTGGCGTGAATTGAGGCACAGCGTACTGTTCAGTATGAGTGAATTTCCGCGACGACTTTGTGTACTAAACGTTAAGAAAACACAATTTCGTGTTTATAATATCCTAATAAACAACCCATTTGATCAGATTTTTGGCCAAAGGACGACGCGTGAACACAATACAGCAGTAAACTTGTGCCAAATCTGTATGCTTACTATAGAGACCAGTGAACGTGTTGAACCAACTATGTCACTTCCGGTTTAATAAAAATTAATTTCTCGCTTACAAAAAACTTTTTTGCTTGTGTTACAGAGGGGATTATTTATCAATATATATTTAAGATTTATGGAAACCTTGTTGAAAATCGTTGGTCTTCCCCTTTAAGTACTGTGTACTGTCCACACATGAAACAATGCTACGTCAAGTTGCACTCATGCGCGTCGGTGATGGCCATGAGTGTATACGCCGCCGATTTCACAAGATGCTATCATTGATGTCTGTCTATAGTCACTCTATAGGATTAGGGCACCGTCAGCTAAATAACAAGAATTCGTTTGAAAGTCGAAGCATTAATTAGACCAGACTGGTGTGTTTGAGTCGATGGTTTGAGTCATTTGGGATCCCTGCAACGGGATGGGAATGGACATATTTGGGTCTGAGAAAAAGGCACTTTCAGCAGTAAAAAAGGGCATTGTCGAAAATTAGGCCCCCCCCCCTTAGATCCGCCTCTGTTAACCCTACGCTTTGTATTCTCAACACGGATGATGTAACTTATTGTGAGTAGAGGGATTAGGTTTAGGTTTATCGAAAGATATATAGACAGATAAATGTTAATTAATGTGTAATTTTTTATCAACAATAAAGAGACTCTTTTATTCTAGCTTCAGTATTTATCAATAACAAAATGTAAATGTGTAATTTTGTAAATAATTGTAGATAATAATATTTATATAAAACATATTCCTGTCTTCTGTATTTTTTGAATATTGGTCCGGGGGGGGGGGGGTAGCTGCAATTTTTAACCGAGATAATTCTTATCTACGGCTGCAATTGATACACTATTCGACTTTTTACGCAAGTAAAATTAGGTTCAGTTGCAGAATTTTCAACACATAAATATATCATCATAGTTTGCAAATAGTGAAGAGTGGAACACAGAAATCTTAATTTTATCATACCGAACAGTTTTTCTGTATTTTCGAGTGATATAATATCACGTGATTTTGGTACGGCGGACATTTTAACTGAACAAAAATTTCGCATAGCAGTTGGGTTAAATCAAATCATATAATGACTACAAAACTTGCGCAAAGGAAGGCCTTAGGACGGTCCACTACTGTGGCTGGAGTTAGACGGAAGACATCAGTAGTTGAACCATTTCTAGGAGGGGGGGGGCGAATGGTTAACGCATGCACGTTGTATCGATTCGTCGCTAGTACGTGACAAGAAGTAAGTCCGCCTGTCCAACCCCTGAATTCGAAAAACAAAAGTACGGTTTAGTGCCGCTGTCCAGTCCAATCGGTGACAGTATGTGCACGTTATCCTCCCCGGTAGGGGAGGATTGGGGCCGGAGCCCGGAAGGAGGGGGTAGGGAAAATTTTGAAAAATGAACCCCAAATATGCGATTTGGTGGCATATCTGATTATAATCTCTGTCAAGTAATATATCTCATAAATCGATTAATTTAGGCCAAAACCCCGACTTGCAAGTAATTTACAACCATCAAGCTGTGAAATTATCATATCGTCAGATTATTAATTAACGTATTATGATTGTATCGTCAAGAGTCAAAAGTCAAGAGAATTTAACTGGTTAAAAAATGGGATTAGTTGAGAAAATTTTGACCATTTGATTAACCAATTCAAGGCCGTATAACAGGTGGCCTTGACGGAGTGGGAGCGGACATGCATAGGCGTACGGGACACAATTCATTTTTGAACTTTTGGAAATGGGAGGCCATTTCCCGCAATTTGAGACCATTCCCGACATCCCAATTCTGTAATTTCATCTCAGAAAATAACGAGTTAATAAAAATGTCAAGGAATGTTTAACACCAGCCTCAGGAAATCGTCTCGCGCTCATATTCAGCCAGCAGACCAGTTATCATCAAATTTTGCAGAGGCCTTAAAACTGAATTTTTTTTGGAGCTACGAACCATCGGCAGACAAGTTGCAGGTGACTTAATAATTAGTAAATTTGCGGGCGACAGTGTCGGGTGAATCCGATGAAATTTTCGGATGAAATTCGGAATCCCCATTGCAGGATTCCGAATTCCGTCCCACACCCAGCACACCCGGCCCAGAAAGTCTATTATATCAGCCCATTCCAGACTCCAGTGATGGCCCAATCCGCCCCTGCTCCCCGCATATTCTGTCATTATATTATCACGTGATTTAATTATTCAGTGTTATTAATGAATGTACAGGTGTCTCAGTTATCTAGGTTAATAACCGTACCATATGTGTCAGTACAGTTGGAAGTTTCAGCAATATAATATTGGAGCAATTGGGACATATTTTAATGGAGTTTTTAACTCAATATCATAGCAATTTAGCTATTTTAACAAGAGAGTTCCGAAAACAATAACTCGATGTTATTACGTCAACAGCAACATAAAATGGCCATTTTTGGTCCAGATAACAATAGGGCAACAACAAAAAAATGTGTATTGCAGTGAGCGGAATTTTAAGTCAATGTGGCCGTTTCAAAATTATATTCGTTGATTATCTCCCTTGAATCATCACACGACATCTAAAAATAGTTAAGAGATGTAAACATTGGTGAGTTTTAGTTGTGATAAAAAGCAATTTTAACAATGACTTAATGGTCCAGGGAACAATAAGGCGATAGTTGAGATTTACCAAAGGGTACATGAACGTCACTGGATACTATTAGAGAACGGGGGACATTGTTCCCGACTGTTTGGTCGACCTGAAACGAACTGAGACTAGAAAATGGCGAACCGGGTTCAGCTAGCAGCCGATAATCCTTTGGCAAGTTTTCCCGACCCGTCAGATCGATCACCTCTACTACAGGAGGAAAATAAAGGTACGTTTAAATGAACATATTAACCACACTATCGGTCGCATTCGGGCACGGATCAACCCGGGTAATCTTTCACGATGGACAAAACGTGTGCATGGTATATTTGTTATACCGTACCGTACTTGTAGATGCACTTGTAGTGCGTAAAAATGAAATGAAATGAAATGGGGTTTAACGTCCTACTGTTTTGCTCCTAAACTGGGCTAATGAAGACGGGCATACGCCATGCAGTGTGCTAGGCGGGAAATTTTGCCCGGGCAGCGGCGCTACGGCCTACTCTTATATCGAATTCCAACTGCCAAGGGATCTTTTACGTGCACGCCAATTTGTACACGGGACCTCGGTTTTTCGTCCCATCCGAACGACTAGATCACTGTCCTTGTCAGGCCCTCCGTCCTGCATCACTGACAAGGGGAACCACGCCGGAAAATCTGGATGAACTTTCTCGGCCAATGCAGGGATCGAACACCCGACCTCCAGGCTAGCGAGCCAGCGTCTTACCCACTTAATCCCCTAGTGCGTAAAGCTTAGCTGTGTAATCTTTTACGTTCAAACCGAACAACTAGGCAAACTTCCCCCATCAGAGCCCCATGGGTATCAACCCGGGCAAGTGGTACGCGGTTTTCCAAAATCCTGGTTCTTATCATACCCTGGACATGTTCCAGTCGCGATGTCACTCCCTTACTGCCAACTCACGGTCACCATGCATGCCCCCTACAGTGACAGCATCCCCTGACACACATGCTACCTGGACGGTAGTGGCTGTAGCTGGGGTATGATTGGGTGAGGGACGGTGCTAGAAACAAACAGGACCTGCACTTAGCAATATTCACGCGAAACGACCAATAAACAGAATAAGGTACGCAATGCAGTTTGTTATGAGCGCTTAATTTGCCCTGGCAGCTGCTCCACGACCTACTCTGTCAAGTGATTTTTAAAAAAGAGCTTGGCCTTCTTTTTTTGTCTACTGAATATCATGTGGTTTTCTGAAGACCTGCCATGGTTATTATGGTTTGAAGACCTGCCATGGTTATTATGGTCAACTGGTTATTATGGTTTGTACCCGACAACTGCAAAATCTTTGTGACCACGCCTCTCCTGATGCTCTCCTGTGTATTCGCCACTGCCAACAACTAAAAGAATGTTTGATACCACGCCAAACTGCCACAACCGGGCTAATGAGGATGGGCATACGCTATGGACATTTAAAGATTTGTACGAACCGGCTGATATTGCAATCCAATGTCTGGAGAAGAGAGAAACCTTATTTTTTGGAGGGGTGGGGATGGGGCACATTTAGCAACAATCGATCACTCCCCTGGAAATAAGTAGCTGCCTTGCCCAAAAGGTACGGTAGTATATATGGCACCTAGAACATGTTTACTGCATGATATAACGATACATGTTGTATTTTTCTTGGGTTTCATGGTTTATCGGGAGGGGGGGGGGGGTGTGATGTATTTTTAGAAAATCAAACCAACCATTGGTAAAAAGAGTGTTGCGCTCTCTGTAGCTTTCAGGAACTGAGACAGGGAGAACGTTTTGTATCAGGTAAATCCATTTCGAAGCTATAGAGGCGTACATTGTATTTTAGATTTGTAATATTCTCTTCTTTTTTTTTAAATTTATAAATCCAATTACGGTTTGTGTATATTATTATTTTAGAATTTTTCCCCTGTGTGTCTACCCGGTTCTTTCTGGCCTTTATGGCGTTTCTGGGTTTTGTAAATGTTTATTGTTTACGGTTGAATCTGAGCGTTGCTATAGTTAAAATGGTAAACACTACTGGTTTAGCAGAGAATGATACTGTTACTAACGAATATCCTGGTGATGTCGATAACAGTACAACGTCATCCAGCCAGGTAAAATATAATACACTGAAACTGTACAATTTGCTTATTTAATATGAAGTACATATAGGTTGACTAGGCATGGCGTTTGTCACAAAAGTTTTCTGGCCCGGTATTTTCTTGTGACTAGTCGAGGTCGCAGGCCCTCCTTGAGAAGAGGCATCTAGTCATTCGGATGATACAAAAAACGAGGTTTGGTGCATGACTGAAACTACCGTATTGTCTCATAAATCATAAAAGTAAAAGATTCACCCATTACTCCATGGATTGTTGTTACTCTTGATCAGTGTTTATTGTCTGGTAACTGATCTGATATTACACATAAAGAATGAATTTGCTACTATGGGGGTATATTTCGTTGCCTGGCAACCTATCTGTCAATTAAACTAGTTCATTTATCAATTTCAGGGAGAATTTCACAGGGAGGAAACAACTCGAGGGGTTATCTTGGGGTCATTCTTTTACGGCTACATCACAACCCAAATACCAGGTGGCTGGTTGGCCGGGAAAATCGGGGGGCGCCGGCTGTTTGGTTATGGTGTATTGTGTACATCTGCTCTGGCACTGTTAACGCCCGTTGTGGCCAGATGGAGCTTACCAGGACTGATTGTGTTGAGAATTGTAGAAGGGATAGGAGAGGTATGAATAAAAATATTAATGGGCTTTCTTGTGCACTGTAGTTTATAGGATCCGATCCGACACTTTAGTTCATAGGTTTCGATTCCATGTTTTAGTCCACAAAGCTCAATGCCAAGCAAGCAGGGGTTCATTTTTGTCTTGTAGATCACAGGATATCAAATATTGAAACATATATGTATTCGTCCAGACAAAAAAAAAACCAGTGACCCTCCCCCCCCCCCCCCCGTTAATCCTTGGATAAATTACGTGTTCGATGAGGAGATTACTTTGCTTTTTCTTAGGGTGTGATGTTTCCATCGATGCACGCCATGTTTGGGGCGTGGTTACCAATATTAGAGAGAAGTAAACTCACTTCATTAGCTTATTCTGGTAAGTATATATAGTTATAGAAAGCGTTTGATTGTTCGGATGGTATGTTTAAATACCTATTAAACATGTACGTGAGATTGGTTCGCTTTGGATATGTATCAGATATTCTTTATTTTATTTACAGGATCTCAGATAGGAACCGTTATCTCCCTTCCTATATCCCGATATCTTTGTGATTCTGATCTAGCTGGTGGATGGCCGCCTGTCTTCTATGTCCTTGGTAAGTCACTTTATCAAAGGCGGGTTGAGTCTGTCTTCTGACAGGACCCTTGCCATTGACACTACTCATTAACCCCGCCTATTCTTTTTGTAAAAAAAATTGATACTCTTATTTCATTAACACCTGTATAACAAAAAAACATATACTGGTTTACATGTTATTACAGGTGCTTTTGGAAGTGTGTGTGGTGGGACTTTATCAATTTGTTATTTACAGATGCTCTAGGATGTGTGTAGCAGAATGCTATTCTCAATTTGTTATTTACAGGTGTTCTAGGATGGGATGTTATTATCAATTTACCAGTGCTCTAAAGTGTGTCTGGTGGGGTGATATTCTCAATGTTTTATTTACAAGTGTATGTTATTATTTGCAGGTACTCTAGGGATTGTATGGGTGATAGCATGGTTGTTATTAATACATGATACACCAGATCAACATCCACGTATTTCTAAAGCAGAAAGAACTCACATAGAAGAGTCTATTGGTAAAAAAGAGGTAAATATATTTTTTTTAATTTGTAGAAAATATTCACATTATCATTCTATATCAGTCTTACACGCCAGTAAAACAATGAACATATTAGATATGAAATATAACGTATTAACTACAACATTACTAAAATTAAAATAACATTGGGCCTTTTTTGCGCACGTTTATCGTATCTAATGAGAAATGCCCCATATAACTAATATTTTTTTTCAATTATAACTGAGTTCCTGATTTTATTTTCAGGATCTGAAGACACCGTGGAAAAGTATATTAACATGTGGTCCCCTATGGGGAATAGCTGCTGCCCATTTCGCCTGTAACTGGGGGATGTATTCTATGTTGACATGTTTACCAACGTACATGATACAAATTCTAAAATTTAATATAAAAAAGGTCCGTTAAAGTGAGAATTGTTATGTGTTCATTTATGTAATGCATTCCTTTCATGAGTAAGACTTACGTTTACTAATCAGAAAGTCCCCAGGGCTGATCCGTGTGTTAAGAAATATCCTAGTCATTTTGTAGCTTTGTATTCTCGTGTCATTGGCGTAAGATGGAAGCCTGTAAAGGAAACTTGTCTCTCGGATAGGACGAAAATTCGAGGTCCCATTTAAACTTTCCCTTATGCAGAAAAGTATGGCGCTATATACTTTTTTTTAATTTTATTTCATTTCTTTCCATTTCATTTCTCTATTTCAGAACATTTTATTATCAGTAGTACCGTATTTAGCTTTATGGATTTTACAAGTTGTATCGGGTTATTTAGCTGATTTTATACGTAGAAATAATCATATGAATACTTTAAATACACGTAGAGTTCTCAATACATCAGGTTAGTTATCTCCCTTGTTTTCAATACACGTAAAGTTCACAATACATCAGGTCAGTTATCTCCCTTGTTTTCAATACACGTAAGAGTTCTCAATACCTCAGGTTAGTTATCTCTCATATCTTTAAATACACATACCGTTCTCAATACCAATAGTATCTATGTTCTTTTTAAAGGTTTATTAATACCATACCAGCAATATTTATGTATTTATGGGTTTATTAATGCCAGCAGTGTTTATGTTTTATTTATAGGTTTATTAATACCCGCAGTATTTATGATATCAGTAGCTTACAGTGGATGTAATCATACCCTTGCTGTTATATTACTAACATTTGCTGTAGGGACTGGTGGCTTGTCCATGGGTGGCTACCAAGTTAACCATCTAGATATAGCACCCAGATTTGCAGGTAAGTTTGGGATAACGATTTCTCAGTATTTGTTTACAACACCAATACAACACCAACTTTGTCTAAGTATCGTATGTTTGTCGTGTACTGTCGACAAGACGCTAAACTTCATTCCCCTGATTTTCCTTTTATGCTAGGGAAATGCCCTTTTATTCACACAAAATGGCATCTTATATATTTTCAGGAACATTGTTTGGTATAACCAACGCCATTGCTACGATTCCTGGTTTTCTAGCACCGTTAATTGTTGGTATTTTAACAAACCACCAGGTATGGCTCCATGCATTATGTAAGATTTACATCAAGAGCTGGCCATTCTTGCTACAATAATCTGTCAAATTTCTTTATTCTGAGCAAAGTTATGAATGTTTAAAGTTTTGGAGTTTTGACAAGAAATAGCGTAGCGTAGAAAAATGGATTATCAAATTTTCAAATGAAATGAGATGCAGTCTAACTGTGGTTGTGTTGTGTTAAATACAATTTGAGGGCCATTAACTGTGGAATATTTGATTCTTTACAGGAAACCAGTGAACAATGGAGGAAGTTTTTCTTCATAACATCAGCTATATATGTAGTAGGTGCTGTCATATATCTGGTATTAGCTAAAGGAGAGGAGTTGGATTGGGCTAAGTCACCAGATAAGACAATAATCGTTGAACCAGCTACAGATGCAAAGAATATACAATTTCCAACAATTGGTTCAGATAAAATTCTAAGTGAAACGTAACATGTAGAGGGATGTATGGCTGGTGTGTAGGTGTGCGTGTGTTTGGGGGTGGGGTGCTACTAGGTGGCTGGTGTTTGCGTGTCCTTGGGGGCTCCTGTCCAACCAGTAACGATTATTTATACCATTTACTGAATCTATTCCTAGACGTATACTGCTCGATAATGTCTAGATTAATATCGCTTCGTTTCGGGCTCATTTTCTGTTCCGAACATTCACTCAACCCATCTTTTCAAAACGATAGTATTCTCAATACAATTTTTTGATGATTTTTTTTTATCAATATGCAGAAGACTGAAAAACAATATATGCAGTCTTATGTTGTACCTTCAACATCACTGCAGGGTACAGGTTGCATTTGATTTGTCTTTTTCTAATAAAATTTTTAGATCGGAAGACCAAAATGGTCAACGTTCTTTTCTTGTTCATATACTACACCACGTTTATTGAATGACATTCTACAGTTATTAAGGATGATTATATTACTACTGCTTTTAAAAGATAATTTTTTAAAATTTTTATACGCCCAGATTTTCATGGTGACTATATTGTCGTCGCCCCAGTCTGTCCATCCACAATTTGTTTGTGGACAATCTACAGGTTCCAATTCTTATTCGATTTTGACATAACTAGAAATATGGGTTTCTCTCAAAACAGATCTCGGTTCCTTTAGAGATTGGCATGTATCGGATCAGATCTTGGCCCCAGATTGTACGAAAAATCACGTTTTTAGCTTGTGGACACCCCAGATGTCACAATTTTCATCTGATTTTAATGAAATGCATGTTTATAACCAAAAGATCTTGGTTCCCTTCAATATTGGCGCGTATCGGATCGTAACTTCCTGAATTATGGCCCATTATTGTACGAAAATAAATCTCGTTTTTAGCTTCTGGTCCTTCTACGGGTCACAATTATTATCCGATTTAAAAAAAAACAACGTTCGAATATATCACCGCTACACCGTAATAGCGGTTGAGTTCGAATGTCGTGAAAGTCGGATCAAAACTGCCCAACAAAATGGCCGCCCCTCGTATCCAAATTGTGTAAAAAAAATAAGGTATGTCAAGGTTGTGGACCATCTAGAGGTCACAATTTTGATCCGAGTTTGATAAAACTTGAAATACATGTTTATAAACCAAAGGTTTCGGTTCTTTACAATATTCGCGCATATCGGATGTAACTTCCTGAATTATGGCCATTGATTCTACGAAAAATCACGTTTTTAGCTTGTGGTCCCTCTAGAGGTCACAATTTTTATTCGATTTAAAAAACCGTTTGAATATATCACCGTTACACCCTAATGATGGTTGAGTTCGAATTACTTAAAAATCGGACAAAACTACCTTACAAAATGGTCACCCCTCGTACGTAAATAGTGTAAAAGTATGCAATACCAAGGTTGTGGACTCTCTAGAAGTCACAATTTGTATCCAATTTTGATGAAACTCAACATATATATAATTTAATATCCCAAATATCTTAGCCCATTTTGATATTCGCGCATTTCAGACGATTAACTTCCTTGATTTTGGCCCCTGATTGGACGAAAAATCGCCTTTTTTTAGCTTGTTCTCTATCCATCACATGCAAAATGTGGGCGTATCTTGCCTGGCATCCGCTGGTTTTATAATATATGTAGATCTGTGTTTTATAATAAATGTAGATCTGTGTTTTATAATATGTAGATCTCCGTTTTACAATGTGTAGATCTGTGTTTTATAATGTGTAGATCTATATTTTTTAAAATTGTTTTATAATGTATAGATCTGTGTTTCATGAATTGTTTATAATGTGTAGATCTGTATATATTCCTATCTCTGGTACCCCAGGAATAGATGTATAATAAGCATCAAATATGAAGTCAAATTAAATTTAATTACAATATTTTTATATCTGGATTGCTGTCGCCTTTAAAACAACGCAACTCCAATCCAATTCGTCTCTTATGATAAACAACATGTCTAAAATAGAACTTGCAAACTTATATTCAGTTGGATATTTTAAAAATTAGAGATGTAGTGTTATATCTTCGTATGTATCGACAGTAAATACAAATACTACGAATACAAACATTTTAGGGAGTCTCCATAAATTAAAGCGGCATAAGGTAAGATTAGATACAGAGTTGACAATTCTCGCTATAATAGTTAAAGATAGGTTCCCAGAAAAGTATTTATCGGGTGGTTATTTCCAATAAAAGTATGGTAATTTTGGTATATATGGAAAGTAGAAATATCCAATCTTACTAGAAAAATACTGGATTCCCTGAAAAACACTCATGGAGCGCATACAGGACAAAAATGTAAGGCTTTCCCTAATCGACAGCCCGATGATTAGGAGTGTCTGCATGCGTGATATCAAAGGTTGCACGCGGAGATTGAGCGCTTGATGTACATGTTGATAAACTTTATCAAGCGTTAGACGTACAACACTTTCTGAGATAAAAATCACGGAAAAAGACGCGGGCAGTGGATAATTCGAGAATTTAATTAGGCTTCGATATTTGTAATAATTAGTCGGTGATAAAAGACAACATCGCCTTGTTTATGCAATGAATTCTCCTCCGAGAGAGAGAGTTAAGTCACGTGACACAAACATGACCTCTTTTGGTCGATTTTTTTATAGCCAGGTTATTCCCTGGCAATTGCAGTGTTTTGAGAAGGATTTGAAGCAAAATTATGATAAATTATGAATATGTTTTAGTCCAAATCACCCAGTTAGTACCTGGGAATGTATCTTTAAAAAAATAAATAATGAAAAGAGGGTATGCTGAAAATTTCTGTCAAATTACTTCACTCTCAGTCTAGATCAGTGATTCTCAACCAGTGTGCCACAAGATTTTGAACGGTACACTACGAAAATGTGAAAAACCATGTGATCCCAACTGAGTATACACTGGTGTCTACTGGTAACTGTATAGCTGTGTTTTTCTTTATTTAGTTTGAGTGACTCTATGTGTATATGACTAGTCCGTGTCTACGGTTGTATGCCGTCTATGACTTGTCATGTTTTTATTTTGCAAAATTCAAATATTTTTCATATATATTTAGCCAGGTGTACCGCTATTTTTCATGTGTTCCGTGTTCCTCTATTAGCATTACTACCGTTGCTACGATAATAAACAAAGTCTCGATTATCCATTTTACAGTAACCGCATCGACAATAAAACGTATTCAAATCTACTTATATCGCAGCCATTCGATGGCATCGAGAGTTGATTATGGTCTTGGTAAATTAATTACTAATTAATAATTTATATAACATTTCAGTCCTAAAGAAAGACCTGCAATAGGCAGATTTAGTTAAAGAAGCAAATTGAAAATATATACCTTATAGATTTATACCAATGACTAAGTATCAGATTTTGGCGCAAAATATCAAAGCCGTAAATAGCAAATTTGGAAGCAAAATAAATTCATAATATGTACAATATTTTAAAGCAAAAATATAACCAATTTATATGAAATATCAAGTATTTAAAAGTAAAATAAATTCATTGTATATAAAATATCAAAGCGGCAAATATCAAGTTTAAAAGTAACATCAATTCATATCGATAAAAGATCAATATTCACAAACTAATAAGTGTGGTCTGCCGCCGAATGGAAATTAAACCTGTTATTATCTCCCTTGAATTATCTGAAAATAGATAAGAGTCGTCAACATCGGTGTGTTTTAGTCGTGATAAAAAGCAATTTTAACAATGACTTGATGGTCCAGAGAACAATAGGGTGATAACCGAGATTTATCAAAGGATACACGAACATCATTGGATACTACTTGCAAACGAGGGACATTATTCCCGATCGGAGACGAGGTGTTAACAGAAAATGGCAAACCGGGATCGGCCAGCAGACAATAGTCTGTTGACAAGTTTTCCCGACCCGTCAGAACGATCACCTCTAATAAAGGAGGAACATAAAGGTGGGTACGAATGAATATATTAACCTGATTATCGCTTATCTACAACTTTATCGGTCGAAGAGTTCCGGTTGTTCTTACCAGTGTTGAGCAAGTTCCTTGTTATATTCCAGCTTGGTTTCCCCTTGTTAGTGGTGGGGTAGGGGGTCAGTCTAATGGTATTCACGTAAAAGAACCATTGAAAGTTGGAAATACAATTGCCCTCATAGCCCACTGTACGGTGAAAACCCGTCTTCACTAGCCCAATGACGTTAAACCGCTTTTTATTTCATTTCGTGTATTGGTCGCTTTCACGACTTTCAGACGTAGATAAACCAGGTGATATCTTTCGATTGACGAAGCGTGTATATTATGGCAACCATGTATACCATGTACGTAGATAAACCAGGTGATATTTTTCATTTGACGAAGCGTGTATATTATAGCAGCCATGTATACTTTAATGTACGTGGATAAACCAGGTGATGTTTGTCGATTGCCGAAGCGTGTATATTATGGCAGCCATGTTACTTGAATGTAATGTTTGAATTCTCGTCAACGCACTACTTCGATCAGTTTGATATTAACATACAGTAATGTCAGTGGTTATGTGTGCCATTGGGATGGGAGAATGTTGCCCTGACAGTGGCGTTGCCTCTTACCATTCTTCAAATTTCAACTGCAACGGTTTATTGAGTTCTTTTACATGCATGCCAGTTTGACATGGGTGTGCTCCTGTTTTTCGTCCATTCCGACCGAATAAGCACAGTTTCCATATAAACCCGACAGGCACCAACTATGACAATTGGCAACAAGGTTTAAAAAATCCCGGTGTTTCTTCATGATCACTGCAGCAGTCAGCAACACATTGGTACACGAACTGCCTGAGTGACGGGAGCGGCAGGTTGTGCTAAAATGAGGCAAAGACCCATATGTCGCAGCTTTTACGCGTCGTCGCAACTTTTACGCTTCTGCGCATCCAAGTTCTTCTGTATATCAAACTTGCAGTTTAAATAGAAGTAGCCTATTGATACACTAGGTTCTAGTTATACATAGTAATTATCTGGTTATCAGTGACTACATTTAAAATATTATATTAAAAGTTAACGAAGCCAGTTCTTCAACATATGTCACATATCAGCCATAAATATTAGTTATTGTCAAAGCTATAGGGAAAATGTATTATCAATATTCGACAATGGCTGATTGGCCTGATAAGAACATATGTTCACAATTAAATTGTTATTGTTTTAAAAAAATGTATTATCAATATTTGCTAATGGTATTGGTCTTATTCCTGATGCGGAAAATGACGTCTAAATTATGTTGATGTTTGTGACAGCCATTTGTCCGTTAAAATAGGATTTTAAATAGCATTTCATTTCATTTGTCTGTTTGTCCGCTCTGGGCTGGAAACCACTATGTTTTACTTAAAAGGCAAATTTTAAAAAAAACCAAGGAAGAGCGGTCTTTTTG